CGATCGAGGAATACTCTCGGGGACGCTCCTGATTTTTTATTCTGTTCGACCTGACCTTTGCCTATTCCTGTCTTCTGCAGGCTTCGTCGTCGTGAAACTCGCGAGCTTACTGCTCTATTCGAAATCTTTCTGGATTGCAGATGGAGTGAAATGGAAATTGTATCTCTTTGGTCGCCTTCGAAATAATTTTCATTTCTTATAGAACGCTTATGTCAATGTTCTAATCTTCGTAGAATCGCTGGAATTCGATTTTTGGGATGGCTCTTGTAGCTCTCTTAACGAATTTAATTTCTATCTGGGAAACAGAAAAGTTGCCAGCCGAATTTTCGGCTAATCAGCCTGGAAGTGTGAAATCAGGTAAACGCCTCATAACACGACTGTTTATCGACTGTTTCACCAGCTAGTAGGAATTTTTTCTGCATCTTATCGCGATAATGGAAGAACGAGTTTGTCCTGGAGCTTTTCGAACAAAGTATTATTTCGTCGTTTCACGTTTGATGTTCCTTGTTACGAGCCGTGCACCGGTAAATGTCCCTTTTGGAGCAAAAGAGGGTTTTTTCGTGTTGGGATGAGATGTTTGAATTATTCAGCAGAGGTTCAAGGTAGAACTTGGAGGTCGAAGATTGTGGATTGGTACATGGAATTCTTCGTTTGGTAAGTGGAAGGAGTTGGAGAATATGGATGATAGATTTTTCCTTTTACAAGTTGAAATCGCAGATATTACAATAATATAAAAACACTTCTTATCCTATCGATGCTTCTCCGTTCTGTATTATAAAAACGCTTATTTCTATAACTGCTCGCATTAGTTAAGCGAATTTTATTAATACACAAACATCTCCGCTAAGCTTTAATTTACATAAATAATCTCCTCAGTTGAAAAACAAACGTCCGTATAAAAAAATACGTGTTTACTGATTCGCACGTTTACATGGAACCTTAAATACAGATTATCAGTTTATTACTATCTATGCGCCGTTTTATGTATCCCTGTTTTTCTTGAGAAACGAGAAAATTTTACGATGTGAATACACGTCGGTTCGCAAACGATCCTCGAGTTCGCTACGATTTTCCATTTCGTTCGAGATTCTCCCATGAAATACGTCCAACTTTCGTATCTCTCCTCGTTCGAACTGCGAGTATAAATATTTCTCCATATTTCTAACCAGCATCGATCCTCTCTGTTTTAATGCGATAGCCATACTACTCTCGGAGTATGTGGTCACTTTGAAGGGCTGCTGCACACGGTTGAAGTTGGTCTGCAAAAGCAACGATCCACGCGGTGGTTATGACGATGGAAAAAGGAGCATCGAGTGGCGGCCTTTGTCCTCGTTGAAATTCCAGCGAAAGCGAAATGTTGAACGGTGGATAGCTGTTTTGCTTGCCTCTAGCTGGTTAACTTACTCTCGTCAACGAGCCCGGTTTGCCCACTTGAAGACACTTCCGACATCGGAGCAGGGAGTGTCTTTCAGTGTAATACTTCGCCTCGAGGACTCTACCGTGGCCTGTTTAATGCAAACGTATGGGTTCGTTTCTGCCTCGGGACATATTCTTCCAATTAAGCAAAAAGTCTGGCCGGATCGCAAGCACTGATCGAGCGCTTTTAAATATTCATCGAAAAAGGAAAAATGAGAGGAGAATTGGTCAAAGAATGCTGTTCGTTTCCTCTTCGATCGGCGATGTCGTTCGTTGTCGAATATTTGAAAATAGTTTCGGGTCAATGTTGGATACTCGAACGGTTATCGCGAAAACGAATTTATCGTTACCGGACACGGAACTTTTTCCAACTTCGCCAGTTTTCGATGGAATCG